TAGCAGAGCTTTGCAAAGCCTGAATGATTAGGACTGACTTATCGTGTTTTGATGTATGAAGAAATAGCTTAAGCCTAATCACGTGGTTGAATGACACAACTATCACCATTGTACATCGACACCCATTCAGTCTACTAATATTCAGTATTCTTTGAAATGAAAGTTCTATATTGTGTACATGTTACTGTAACTGAGTAATGTCTCAATTGTCTAAACCCAGTCATTATGATAATATATTTAAAGATGTTTAATATCTACCATTTTCAAAAAGCACGTGCGCTTTTCCTTATTTCGTTAACTATGGGGCTGACACTATCGGGTCTGTTAGAGTTTTAAAACTATTTATACAGTTCGATTTTTAGTTTTGGATGTTGAGGGAAACAAATAGGAGGTAGAATTCTCTTTTCCCGGGTAAACGTGTGCGTGATACTTTCAACTACGTAATCTTTAGTCCTTAGTCTGAAAGCCCGTTTTTTTGAAGTCGATAGTGAATTGTGCGTTTGTGTGTGTTGAAGAGGTTTCTATCGAATCATGAGGCAATAAAACCAGCAATATGAGGGCACCCTTCGTTGGGTGGACAAGAGGTTTCATTCTGCGTTGTACATCTATCAAATGGCCTATGAGGACACAGGGCTATTGTCCAGCCCCTAAGAGAAGGACGTAGGTTATTTAGCACTTACTTACTCCTAGTCAGCGACACCTGTGACCTGGAGAAGAAACAAATATTGATTTTAAGCTATAATAGCTACTGGCCGTGAAAGGGGATCTTTTCTTGTGTGAGCTGTGAGAGGAGGAGACCCTGACACCTCAACTGCTATTATCCTCTATGGTCACTAATCCCCGGAATGGGTCTATTTCTCGGCTTGTTGGTCGTCTCTTTTTCCCCTTTCTTGTCTCTCACCCTGCGGACAATGACAGCTGGTTACTATAATACATATTGGACACCCCACCACAACTTCTCCTCCCCAGTAATCGGTTTCAGCACATGTAGTCTTCGAAAACTCTCGAACACTCTATCGTTGTGTTATCATTCTCACGCTCCAACGTGCGCCGGTCTCTGCCAGTGCTCCTAGCAGTGTATTCAATAGCATTAGTCAGCTCCATTTTGTCTGCATCGCGATTTTTCTTTGTGGCTTAGTAAATCACTGCCTTAATCCGCTAAGCCTCGAGTATATAGAATGGCTGAATATATAAATCTCTCAACACGCATGCATTTCATTAATGGAACGGATGAAAGGTAGAGAATAGTCCTAGCATCCGCTATATAGAGATATAACCGTGCGTGAGTATATATAGAAATATGTATGTATAAGCAAAATGTACACAATTGTGCATCGAAATGAATGCAATCAAGAAGAAAAACAAGTATTGTTCTGTTAAATCAGATATAATGTAAAACATCTATTGGATTGCCAACCACAAGGTTTAGCTACATTCTGAGTATATTGGATTTAAACAGATAGGCTCAACGATCGCCACATTCTTAAATACATATATTTTCTTACTCATCTCCTCATCCGTTGAGTGTTTTTGTTTTATATATATAGTCTTGTGCGCATGTGCTACGCATATACATACACCTTTTCTACTACCTGTTCACTTTCTCTTACTAAATAATCTGGAAAATGTCGAGAACGGGCAGTTGTGACGTCAAGCCTTAGCATAGTGCTTACCTGTGTTTATATAAGAGGAAAGAAAGTTTAGTAAAACACTATTTATAGGTGTTTACATTTTTTATTAAAACACTATTTATAGGTGTTTAAATTTTTTATTAAAACACTATTTATAGGTGTTTACATTTTTTAATTAAAACACTATTTATAGGTGTTTACATTTTTTTATTAAAACACTATTTATAGGTGTTTACATTTTTAGTAAAACAATATTTATAGGTGTTTACATTTTTAGTAAAACACTATTTATAGGTGTTTACATTTTTAGTAAAACAATATTTATAGGTGTTTACATTTTTAGTAAAACACTATTTATAGGTGTTTACATTTTTAGTAAAACAATATTTATAGGTGTTTACATTTTTAGTAAAACACTATTTATAGGTGTTT